GGCACTTCGGTTTGGAAATGGGCATTTGGTTTTTTTGCTAGTTTCCTTGGCCGGTTTATGTAATCCAACACTTCTCATTTTGTTGATATCTGTGAGCTCTTGTAAAGCTACAAAATGTTACAATTAAGCCGCTTTCATAACAAGAATTGACTAGACGTCACAAGGTGGCCCGCAGAGATTTCGCTGAGCACCCTTTGGTGCATCCACCGAGCGGAATGGTGCCCATAATGGTTATCAGTGATTGCTCACATTCCAACGAACCATTGAACACAGTAAGTTAAGCTCTTCACACAAATTGACCTATGAACAAAGGATTTTTATCCTTGGTAAGGATGAACAATAATCAGCTGATCTGCTCGGAATTTCAGCGGTATTTTTATGAAGCCTGACGTTGCAGTAATTTTGAAAAGCGTAGCAGCCGCCGTGGTGTCGTTCCTTCGTCACCTACTTGTAATTCTATACTGAACAAAAAGCAACAGCACTGAAGATTCCTCCTCGTCCGCATGAAGAAAACGAACCTACCTCTGATGTTGGCTCTATGAGCAGCATCAGAAACTTTGAGTGGAGGTTTGCCGGCGTTTCCGGTCAAATCGACCCTGTTCAGAGAACATATTCGTCACTCCCATTGCTATCAACGCTTTTCTGAGTTTGAAGTCCGTCTCGATTTTCATCTTGGGCATTGTGATTTGAAAAAGGGTTTCATGCGATATTTGTGTCATACGGTTCCCTCCACCTAAATCTGAAGCTCTCATTCTAAATCCACAAAAAAAGAATAGCAAAAAAAAGCTTCATGCAGCACCCGGCCCCAGGTTCCCAGTTTTGAAGGCAACTGTTGAATATTCTCGCCGGTGAGCTTCCATCAAACTCCATTAAGACAAATCCGAACGTACATCAAAAATTGATTGATTCCGCTTTTTTAGCTTGGTTATACTACGAGGACGAGGCAGAGCTAGAATAGGAGCAAATGGCGCATCTGCCATGGATCCAAAATTCAGTTATTTTATATCGCACTCGCTAGAGACAATAGGAACTCTGCCCAGCACACACTCGTGACCATATGCTGTCACCTCTGTTGTTTTTTGGCCTACACCTACGACCTACCTGCGTACCTCAATACCCACCCACTTGTAAAAACCAAGATGTATGCTGACGACATCAAAATTTACGGTGCTTATGACAATGATAATTATGAATGCGTGCACCAAGCGTTGACTCAATCTGTATGCAACATGATGGAATGGGCTACCGCTTGGGGTATACCTGTAAATTTTACGAAAACATGTGTACTTCATTTGGAGAAGCCAGGCTTGCACCATACACCGTCAACGGTATTTCTCTCAGTACTTCAAATGAAGTTCGAGACCTTGGTTTTCTCATAAATTCTGATCTCGATTTTTCACATCATATTGATGCTGTTGTCAGGAAGGCTTTCGCCGCTCTCTTCGTAATATTCAGAAACATTCGACTAAATGATCCCTCGGTTCTGTTGAAGCTCTATAAAGCATACGTGGTCCCCATACTTGAGTATGGCTCGCAGATATGGAGCCCTCATTCCAAAAAATTTCAGGCAAAAGTTGAGAAGGTCCAGCAAACTTTCACTAGAATTTTGATGTACCGATGTCATCCCAACCCGACATATCCGCGAGGTTTACCCAGCTATAAGGAACGCCTCAAGCTTTTCAACCTTAAGTCATTACTATATAGACGAGTGTTCAATGATATTTTGTTCTGCTTTAAGTTACTGAAAGGAGATTTAAGATTGACGCCTAGTAAGTATTGGACTTTTAGACCAAGTAGGGGCCGCATTTCTTCACTGTCATTACAATGTCCTAACTTAGGCAGGACTCAGCGATCCAAAGTTTTCAATTCACTTTTTTTCCGTGGAGCAAGGTGGCTTCAGTCGCTGCCATCAGAGCTGCAGAAGGCGTCAAGTACCTTTGTTTTAAGAAACTTAAGGAAGTTGACATTCCGACTATTGTGGGCATTCAAGATTTTTGAAAGTTTAGGGTCTGGACGGTCTCCGCTTGTGAGTATTTGTGTTGCCAAGTTTGTTGATGTTCTGGTTATTTTTCTTTGTGTCGATTTGTTTTGTAACTTATCTGTTTCGCTCATAATGTAGCGCACCCGTGTGTGCATGATAAATAAATAAATAAATAAATAAATATGCATGAGCTCCATGAGTAAAAAATGAAGCGTTATCGACCCTAAAGATAGGGATCGCATCGCTCGAAACATCCATAGTGATCCATTCAGAGCTGCTATTCAGCGCCGTATAATGTGCACTTTCAGTATCTAATCGTATGCGACAATGCGCAAGTGCTCGCGTCGCGCGACTGTCCCGCGCGACGCTTCAGGAGAGCGGACGATCATGACTAAGCGTGGCAAACTTGTTTTTTCATTCCTTCCGGCGCTGTAGAATGTTCCCTTCAAGTTGAAACCCTTCGAGACTGGGATAGGCATTGGCCGTAAAATATTGTAGATGCCGTTGACAATCAGTGAGAATGCACCCCTAAGCAGAGCGGGGTCAACGAACTTGCTCCAGCTTCACAAGGGTTCACAGGTTTCACCGGAGTGAGGCTTGTAAAGCGGATATTGCGGATAACCGGAATGAAGGCACAAAGTGCCCCCCACATCGCGATATGCGCCGGAGAAGGATCGAGAGAAAAATTAAAAAGAACCAAAAACAAAAGCGTGAAACAGAAAAAAAAACCAGAAGAACCGTCAGCCTTGTGCCATGCAGCTGATTTTGTTGACCATCTTATGCTCCTTCAGTGACAGTGGAATTGGAAGAGCACTAAAAAGTCAGTCAGCAAGCACCGATGCTGCGATCTAGAATTCCATAGCCTATGAAAGGCAGTCACCAAACGTGTTTTCACATCTGCTATCAGAAAAAGCGCACATTTATTTATTATTTATTTATTTATTCACTGCACGCAGAGGTGCGCTTTTACAACACTCGGGCTGGGCACAGTCGAATACAAACTACAGTATAACTCAACGCTAAAATGTCACTCGGACCTCAACTGGCACCTGGAACTCATAGGGTGGAAAAATAAGCTTTTAAACAGTTGTGTGGTGCGATAACCACCTCATGGTGCCATACTCCTGTATCATTGAGGTCCTAATGATTCATAAGTACGAGTCGTGTCCATCGCTAAACGTGAGGAAGCTCAATATGAGCTCTAATATACCTGCACAGGGGAGCGCATTTGAAGGACTCTATGTGCAAGACAAGCAATGCCATCTGAGATATATGTAATTATCGTGTTACAAGTACGTCCACCCAAGCTGCAGCTGCTTCCCCTTTAGGACTGGACAAAAGTATTCATTGCCATTACGGTATATCTAGCTTTGCACAAGTAGTGAGTCGTCCCCACGTCCCAACTCACCACCATTAGCAAAGAAGCATATCACTACTCTATCGACAGTGAACTCATAATTTATTTTGGAATGTGATTGAATCTTTCACACAAATTGACCCATGAACAAAGGATTGTTAATCTTTCGTAAGGATGAACAAAAATGGATGATCAGCTCGGAATTTCACCGGTTGTGGTCCAAATCTAGCCATAACGATTTTCGCCCTGAGAACTGTGGCGCCGCCGCCGGTTGTTCCAGCTTCATCCACCTGAAATGTGGTCAAAGCAAACTGAGAAGGTTCCTTTTTACGATTATGGAACATCAATCCACCTCAATGATAGCTCTGTGAGCAGCGTCGAAATGTGGAGCGGAGGCGCCTTGGATATTCCAGTCAAATCAGCGTTGCCAGAAAACATCTGCGTCACTCCCATCGCCATTAGCGCTTCTTTGAGTTTGAAGTCGGTCTCAATTTCATTTTCGGGATTGTGACCTACAAAAAAGCTCTAGGAGGACAAAATAAAGAAAACAGAAATATTGTGGCAGGAGCAGCGGAAGCGGGATAGGAGGCGGAGTAGCTGTTGCAACTTTTCTATTTCTAATTTTTTTCAGTTCCCACTTCCCCATGCCGAATTGCAGATTTTTGGCAGATTTTTTAGGATTATCCGTCTCGTGGAAAAGTCGAATGTGGGGAAAAGTCTCAGAAGAAAAGAGGAACGGAAGCGGCAATCAGAAGGTAGAGCAGCTGTTGCAGAATTTCCATTTCCACTATTTCCAGTTCCCACTCCCCAATGCCAAATGGCAGATTTTTGGTGAATTTTTTTTCAGGATGATCCTTCTAGTGGAAAGGTCGGATGTAGGAAAGATTTTTCTTTCGGAAAGACGTCGCTCTCAGAGTACATTCAGAAACTCTTGATGTAAATGATGGTACCGTAACCGGGGTGTATTCCAACTCAGAAAACAGCTTCTGAATCCTTTCTCCTGTAAGCATCGAACGAAGGGAGTTGAGACCAAACCTGAAAGAAAATGATCGGATGGGATAATATAATACTATATATATTAGACTAAATTTGTGTGCTGAAGTGTGCATAGCTACCAGAAAGTTTTCTCGTTAATTCATGTGATTTAGCCACACACAGTTAAAAGTTATTTGTGGTATTGCGGGCCGACGATGCTGGTGGTGGTCGAACGGAAGCGACAACAACAGATGACAGCTAAAAAGCAGCATCGGAGGGGCAGGGCTGTCCCCTTATGTTTCTGCTAGCATTCCTTGTTCTCAGCTGAAATGAAGGCTCGCCGTGAAATTCTTCAGATGTAGAAAAGAATTCTTCAGATGTCTCTTCGTTTCGCCCCATAAGCATTACGGCACCCCCTGCTAAAGCTCTGGAGATGATTTTACGTGATAAAATTGTATCTCATTTGATGAAGAACAATCTGATTCCCGCAGAACAACATGGGTTTATTAGTGGTGCTTCCACAGGTACTCTTATGGCAGACTGTCTGTTCGATTGGAATTTAGCTATTAACAAGGGGAAGGGTGTGGACGTTATTTATTTTGACTTGTCCAAAGCGTTCGATAGAGTAAATCATGAAAAGCTTCTATACAAATTGTGGCAGTTG